TACAACTCCTTCGCCTGTGTCGCGGCGGGCGGAGTCGTGTCTGTCATGCTTCAGCAACGAGTTTCTGACCTAGTAAAAAATGCTATTTAAATTAAGTACAGAGATAAAAATATTCCTGTGACCCGTTGGCCTCTTCGAAGCGATGTCTTCGTGGTGCCTGTTTCGAAAGGAGAGGAATCATTCAAAAGCATATCTATCTTTAGAAACTGAACAAGATTCACGTTTCCGTAGAGAGCGGGAACCGTATAACCACGGAAGTAAGGTGAACGAAACGTTAGACATACTGAACCTCAAAATTACAGGGATTAAAATACTTAAATTTCGCACTTAAACGGGGGTTAAGAGGTGAAGTCGTCCCTTCCCATCAGACCTGATTTCCGTGCTCGTGACGATCTGCATCTACCTCCTTTGTAGCCACCACCAGCAGCAGCTCCTGTCCGCCATTCACCCTACCGCGAGCGCCAGGAGCGACGAATATGTGTGATTATGACAGAGATTGTACTTCACCAAAAATATGCTGTCCTACTGTTGAAGGAAACAGATGTTTGTATTTGGGCCGCGACAGTAAACCACAAAATATTGATCGCATAGCATCATCTTACAAAATTATGATAGGCACCAAGCCGGCTGGCCCTGATTCGAACGTTCTCCCGCCACCACAGTCATGTACGATGGAGAACGAAGAACCATCGAAGTGTGCCCCTGTGTGCCCGTTGGGTTGTGACAACATGTACCAAGGACCGAAGTGCTACGACTGCAAGCCTGGATGCAGTTGCAAGTATGGCTACTACCGGCTGACCAGCTCGGACGTTCATTCTCCTTGTGTATCCGATGTGATGTGTTTGCAGCTGAGTCAAAACAGTAAATGTCATAAACAAATGTAATCACGGTTTTCTGTCAGTTGTGTTTTAGAAAATTGCCCAGATGGTGCAACTCCGTTGGGCACATGCAAAGAATACAACAATCAATGTCCCGCCAGGTACCTCTGCCAAAACGACTTGTGTTGTCCGGGTCCTAAGCCTGGTTCCTGCCCGCTGATTCCAAACATGGAAACGGTCATGGAAAGTTTGAAATGTACGGGAGATGGTCAGTGCGAAGGCAATAAGAAGTGTTGCGCCACGTCAGAAGGCGGTCGTTGCCTCACCCCGCTTCCAACGTTTGGTCAAGCTGAAAGCAGTAACAACATCTTTGGCGGTTCTCGTATTGGACAAACCGGTAAGCATGATGCACGATATTCTAAAAGTTTATTTCAGGTTGGTTTAATTCTTTGGGTTGTATTTCGAAACAGCAGAGAAGTGGCAACAGAAAGTCATTATGTAATTGCATAACCTCTTTATCAAGCTGAAAGTACAAGACTCAATGCATCGCGAGCCCTCCAAAATTATGCCTAGATGGAATGCCCTCCAAAATTCAGTATTTTTGTCCAACCCATGACGAAGAGACAAGCGTCAAAACATGGGGCCGTTGCTAGGGCAAAGTAGGGGAATCTTTTATCCTCAGAATCTGTGGCTCCTTTTCTTTCACTTTTCTGCATAACTCTTTCTCATGTACTGTGTTTCCTTGCAGCCTTTTCGTTGCCAATACGCATCATGTAGCACCGCATCCTCAGATGAAATTCTCGTCCAGTTTTTATATTTGCTAATCGCTTTTGATTTAGTGGGGAAAGTGGCGTCACTGCTTGGATTTGGCGATTTGCTAAGCAACATTGGCCAGCAATGATGTCGAAAATTTTTGGTGAAGAAGCATTTCATGACGCTATTCGATGTGCATATGGTTCACAGGGCAGAGAAACTTTTTTTAGCAAAAAGTACGGTATTTGTACCTGTCGATCATTTAAGATACTGCAAAATAAAGAAGTATCAAAAACGGGCGGCGGCTGTGGGAGAGTGCGACATGACAATGTTTTCATGTCAGTCAGTCTTAACGATTATGCAGTTAATTCTATTAAACAGCGAGTTTCATAATGGCATCACATAGGCGCTAGACGGGCGCAGATGGAAACCGCAAGTTGCAGAAATCAAGGTTTGCCCGACATTTGGTAAAAGATTTCACTTTCTTCCCTTCTGTTACAAATGATGAAGATACGAGATTGAATGAATTAGTAAATATATGAAAAGAATAAACGAGTAATCATCGAACGAGTGAAACAACTAAAGAACGATGAATGAATAAATCAATCACATCGGGACAAGTATGTTTGTTTCTGTTCAGAAATCTTTAGAGCCTATCCAGTATGATGCCAGAGCCGCAACTGAGGTTGCCTTTAAATTTTTCTGAAAACCTGGGACACTCTCTCGCCTATGTGGAGGATGAGTGCGTAAATAGTGCGAAGCAATGGCACTGCTATGATTTGGTCTTCTGACAATTTTTTTCATTCGAAGTTAACTTAAAACGCACACATAATTTGAAGATTACTTGCAACAGAAATTAATTGTTTTTAATTGCTATGATTTTGATTTTCATCGTCATCACTTATGCCATTCGCTCTTTGAAACTGCCTTATGAACCCCTGCTCAGACACAGATGTTTTTTTGCTTTTCCATTGCGGAACCTTCCTTACAGCCCTTATACAGATTACATAAGAATTTCCTGCAACACATAACCTGGCTCATCTATTTTCACTTTACCCAAGCTTTAGTTTTCTCGCTGCACCTTAATTCAGTTTGTCATTTTCTTACCTTGCAGATTCAAAACTGAAATTTTTGCCTTTGGTAAAAAGTGTCACAGTAAAAGTAATAACGATACCGGAATAAAATGACGAATGCACAATGTAAAGAAAGAAAAATCAATATCTTACTTTAAACCAGCAGCTTATTGCACAGTCGCTTTGCTTCTAGACTTCTAAGGGGACCATTTAAGCAGGCTACGGCTCCATGGAATTTAAGCGCATGGGACGCGGGACTGCGTCTCCAACTTCGGTTGAACATAGGTATATTCAGCGAAACAAGATCTCGGTACCATGTCCATATGCAAATAAGTGATAAAATATAACCCTGATGCACTGGGCAGCTTTCAGTACCGCCGCTGAATATTACACATTAAAAATAATAATGATATCTATTGAAATGGCAAAAATGCACAGTGTAAAGAAAGAAAAATGTATTTTTCACTTTACACCAGCAGCACCATTGCACCAATCCTTTGCTTCTAGACGCCTATGGGACCATTTGAGAACTTTTTCCTTATACCTGCATTTTCGACATTTCAATTAGGCATCATTATTATTTTTGAAGTGTAGTTGCTGCATCGAAAGTATCCCCCCAGGACATCGGTGTTATATCTTGTCACTTAGTGATTAGTTTGTTTGAGAACAAAAAATAACGCAGCTTAAATATGCACATCATTCATGAATTCTGGTTCTGGTTTTCTTTCGCCTTTGGACAACTTCAAGAACGTTCGAAATACATGCTGGGAAGCGAGCAGAAACGCTGAACTTACAGCGTGATGCATGATTACTGTATAGCAGCTGCTGACGAATCGTTTTATACGACAGATCTGCCACTTTAGCCCACTCTACGATTGATCGGTGAAATGGCGATACCATAATCTAACGGCACAATACTGTATTTAACCAAAGTGAAATTCAGAGTAATGAAATTTATCGCTGTAAGAGCATCGACGCATTTTTTAGAGCGTTGAGTAAAAACTTACTGGTGAACATCAGAGGTTCAACAAGCCGTCAGCAAAAAGAAGGCTGCATTCAAGAGGTAGCATGCAAGAGAAGGTGATTAAACGCTTATGCGTCATGAATAAGCTGGTAAGGCGGCTTCGAAAACAGTGCCAAAGGCGAAAGCTGATTTTTGGCAAGCGTTCGATGAGATGGTAGTAGAAGACGGAAGAGAGGAAAAAATGAGATGGAAGGAGGGGCACTCCAAGACTCCTGAAGGACAAATCTGCACGCTTTGCTACCACATATGTTAACATACTTCAGCGACGAAGAGGCCACTGTAGGAACTCCATTATAGCAAGCAACGACAGGAAGACTTCCCGCATAGAAGAAGACCAAGCAGTAGTAGATGAAAACATAGAAGCTGCATAACGCTTGAAAAGTGGCAAGGCTGCTGGAATCGGTGAAATCCGCTCTGAAATGCTTAAAGCATACGCTGAACTACGCATATGATGATTTACACGTGTCTGCCAAACTACACTGGCTACGGGAAGTCACCAGAAAACTGGAAAAGACGGGTTGTAGTATCTCAGTTCAAGAAGAGAGACTATCAGGAGTGCTCCACTTTGCGGTCCATTACCTAATTCAGCCTCCCTGGAAAAGTCTTGGCAAATGTCTTACAAAGGAAGCGACGGTGAACAACTGACTCTAAGATACAAAAAGAACAGTACAACTTCAGGTCAGGCGAAGCACATATGACCAGATTTTCACCTTACGCACGACTGTTGAGAAATCCTTCATCCGGTGAGTTCGCTCTTTTGATTTAAATCTGCTTTGTGGATCGAAAGAATGCCCATGACCGAATCCCATATAGCAAATTATAAGCGTGTTTACGAATGTATGAGATCAACGGTCAGTTGCCACCTGCCATCCAGTAACTACGTTT